CCCCCCCCGTACACCCCTCTTTATCCTTAGGGGTTCAGCCGCGTCTGCGGGTCCTCGAGCCTGCGATTCGCGCGTGGCTCCCTCCCCCCGCAGCTGCAGACCCGCTGTGGGGGCGGCTTTGGGCTCTGTGACCCGGAAACACCCCCTGCCGGTGATGAAAAACTGCTGACTCCAGATGGGGTGCCCAACGCCCTAAGCACTCGGGCCTCAGAGCAGCCTTGTTGGCAGACATCCTTTTCAAAGGGGGAAGGAGAATCGCTAGTACGGGTGGCCCCAGGGCTGTTTTGATCACCGCGCTGCTTTCACATTTGCTCTTCTGATTCCACTCTTGCGTGTGGGAGTCTCAACGTCCAGGCTTGGGACAGCGTCTACTCCCGGTTTTCCACGCGGATGTCTCACGCTCGTCTCAAATTCCACACACACTCCCTCCCTCCGAAAAACACTATGCAGCAAAGCGCTTATTTTTCTTTAATTTAGTATTTCAGTGGCACTATCAACATTGATCCAGGGCAGAACCTGAGGGATATTTTTGAATAGTTCTCGTTCTCCTTAGGCCCCATTTCAGTTGAACCCTAAGTCCTGATAATTCATTTCACCACTCGGGCCTGTCAGTACACTGCCCTTCAGATTAGCCGCTCGCTACTTGTTTGCTTGTGCCTTCGCCAGAGCCTTATAATATCTCCCTGTTGTGTCTACCCTAGAGCTCTAGTTTTTATAAAACAGATCATTTCCCTGGCTTTAAAACTTTAATTGCCCCCGGGGAGACTCAAAGCATGCGAAAGACTTATTACTAAATCTCTCTTTTGGTTTCTTATTACTGGTCTAACAAGTTACCACAACTTTAATGGCTTAAAAGACCACAAGTTTATTATCTTACAGTAATGGAGGTCAGTACTCGAAGATGAATCTTAGCTGGGCAGAAACCAAGGCCCCGGATGGGCCTGGCGGCTCTGGGGCATAATTGGTATCCTTTGCCGACCTTCTATAGGTTGCCCCTTCCTTACGCTTTAACTCCAGCAGCACAGCGTCTTCGTGTCTCTCCAACTCAAATCTCTGCCAGCCTTGGCTACAGTGAACAAATCTTCCTGATTCACTGAGCCCATCTAAGTGATCCAGGATAACTTATTAGCAATCTTAACCTCATTAGTGGTCTCGCTACCCTTGCTATGAAGTAATGTATTCAAAAGGCTTGGAAATTAGGACGTAGACACCTTTGAGGTCATATTCTACTGTGTTCCTTTCTAGCTACACTTTTCCCATACCACCTGTATTTATTGTCTTGGCTTCTTCACAAATTATTGACAAACTTTAGTGACTTTAAACAATTGTTTGTTTAAATGTATTTCTTACATTGAATGTAAGAAATGAATGTCTTTCTTACATTCTCTGGGTTGGGTGACGGTTGTTTTCGTCCAGGTCCCTTTGGTTTGGGCTGGATTATTGAAGCTATGTGACTGAGCTTCCAGAAGAAAAGGGTGAACTTGTTTTGACTGCTGGACCCCTCTATATTCTTTTCATCCTGGTAGTCTGAGTTCAGTATCAAGAGGGAGTAAGTAAGCGTTGTTGTGTTTTTATGGTTCTTACCTGTTTGGTAGCGTCATATTTGCTCTTGTCACACTGGCCGAAGCAAGTTATGTAGCCAAGCTGAGAATCAGCATGGGAGGCAACTTCTCAACGGAACCAATGCAGCAAAGTTTCCATCCTTGGGCGCCATTGCTGCAAAACTCAGACTGCTCTTTGACCTCAATGATTCATGTTTCTTCCATATTTAAAACACATTCAACCCACCTAAAACTACCAAAACTTTCATTCAGTAGCATTATCTTGCTTCCAATTTAATATCTTGTAATAGATATTATGTCTAGGGGTAGTACCTTAGATACTACCTCTGTTAATATGAAGATCTATAAACTAAAACCAAATTGAAATAACAGTCAATAGATGAGTGATATGTTTCCTCAGAACTTAAGGGTCAAAATCATGTGACAGCTTACTGCTATCATCTCTGGAGTGGTTCTTTCCATGACATCTGTAGTTTCCTCCCACACTTTGCTTACAAATTGGCAGTGAATGCTCTCAGATAATCCCCTGCGCCACTGTGTTCCTCATACCCTGTGTACGTGTGTCTCCCTGGGGCCTGGACTCCACTTTCTGAACTCAAGGAGTCCAGTGGACTCCATCTGGATTCTCTCTGCCTGTGAAGTTGTCTGGAAACTTTCTCAAGTTGCTTGGCCGAGGCAACACTATAACTCTTCTCCTTTGTTGGCTATTTCTCAGAAATCATTGTCTTTCATTGCCCGAAACCCACTTCTTTGGGAAACTTTTCATCACATAGTCTGTTTTTTGATGTTTCAGGTGAGTTTCAGAGAGGCACACGTCCTTGTGCAACTTTTGTTGTAGTGAATGAGTAGACCTTTAAATTCTTTGGTGAATAATGACTCTTTGATTTTGGTGAAATCCTGTGTAAATGAATCTTGGTAAGCACTCCATCCTATTTTTAAATAAAGCCCAAGGTGGGGCACATTCATTCTGCATGCCTCGGCAGCAGGGTCATGGATGTGGCTTTGTATTCTGAAAAGAAATTGCTTCAAAGACTCCTGTGTAGTAAAGGATCGTAAAGGATCATAAAGTCAGGCACAGGCTGAATTCCCATCACAGTACAAGCAACAATATTTTAATCAGACTGCATATGTGGCTTGATATTGTATTTCCTTTCTTAGCTCCTGTACATTTTCCTCAACTTAGATACAGAGATTTTTTATGTATTCTCTGAGCTTCCTCAAATCTTTCCAATAAGTTTTTTCTGCCATTGACAGCCAGCCATCTTTTCTACTATTTGCAGTCCAAAATTATAGTTCATACAATAGTCACTGTCCTCCTAAACTGTCTTCATTTTTATTCATCATGTCTAAGTGTAAGCATATGCAGAAGGCTAGTGACTTGGATTTCAACACCCCTTTAAGCTTAGTTAAGAAATAAGATCTTTGGGATTGTATGTAAAAATTCTCTAGTCAAACACAACCAACTGTGTGTGTGTCTCTCTCTCATCCTGAAATAATTCTCTTACCAGCACACTAATTATAAGTGCACAAACAAAACAGTAAAAACAGCGGAGGTTTTCGTTAGCAAGAGTCTGTTTTCCACAGGATGCTTTTAGTAGAATATGCCCTGGTGTCTAGAATTACTTAAAATTGGGATATTTAAATTTGTGAATGATGGCTTCTAAGAAAATGATATATTCTATAATCTATATAAACCTCTCAGTAACATATAATGTTTTATAATGTAGTCAGCTCCTTCTATGAAAATTAGCACCTACACACGGCCCTTTCATTCACATCCTAGGCCCAGAATCATATTGTAGGATTGGACTGTGGGAACTGTCCTACTGTACCAGAAATCCTAGGCTTTTCCTTGTTTTACCTGTGTGTCATAACTCCATATGTCTTTGACAGTACTGATAAAGCTTGGTAAAAAATAGCTGAATCTTCTAAGTATAGGTTATTAATCTGATTATGATAGTTCTTAAACTTCACTCTTCTGTTAATTAATTCAATAATTTTGACCTTTTACAGAGACATGGGAAGAACAATTTTATATTAGTATTTGTTTGTTTGTTTTTCTTCCAGTACCAGGAATCGAACTCATGACCTTGTGCTTGCCAGGCAGGCGCTGTGCCCCTGAGCTAAATCCCCAGCCCCAGAGCAATTTTATATTGATAAGATAATAAACATATTGGCAAAAGATCAGTAAGAAGAAAAGTATTTCACCTTTAATAGCAGATCCTTAGATGTTCAATTTATATATACGAAACATACTTTATAAAATATTCAGTGTTAAGAACTCCACATGTTCCTTTTTTCACTGAGCAATATATCGTGATGATTATTGCATATGAGCATACTGGGATTTAATTACTTTCTACCACGCATGTATGGTATTTAATGCTGTAATTACCATCATTTTTACACTAGTTTTCTCCTTCAGTTTTTACATTTTTATGTTACAAAAATTCTATAATGAGCATCCTTTTATGAAGATTGTAGGATTAAAGTGTATGTTTATTTCTGTTTTTTTTTTTTTTAAAGATGTGTTCATTTTTCCTCAAAGCAGCTCCACTCTTTAATTCTCACACAAATGGTATGTGTGTCCCAGTGGTGCTCTCTCTGTTGAATAGACTTTTCTCATGAGTTGTGGGTTTTTTTTTTTTGTTTTTTTGAGACAGGGTCTTGCTATGCAGTTCAGGCTGGCCTTGAGCTCACTTTGTAGCCCAGGCTGGTTTTGAACTCTCAGTGATCTTCCTGCCTCAGCCTCCCAAGTGCTGGGATTAGAGGCGTGCGCCACCACGCCTGCCCTAAGTTGTGGTTTCAAGTATGCTACAACTAGTTATCTGTCTTTATCTCTGTCTATAATCTTACTCATCTCTATCTCTACCTCTATCATCTCTGTCTTTATCTCTCTATCTCCACCTATATTTATATTACTTACAGGGAGAATAGAGTTTCCTTACTTCTGTTCTGAATTTTCACTCCTTTTATGCTTTTTGAAATTTTTACTCTTGCCAACTTTAAGGAAAATCTGTAGAAATTTTAGTTATATTTTAGATGTATGTTTAGATAAGTAAATGGGACAAAGATGAATACAAAAAAGTGATCAGATTGTTTATTTTGGACTTGCTGAAAAAATTATAACTTCTTATCTTTAAAGAATTAAAGCTAAATTTAGGAATCACTGTAAACCTCAAGTATGTAGTTAACATAAAAATGCAAGAAATTGAAAATAATCTTGTTCCTGTGAAGCTTGACTATGCATGCATGTTTTAACATAGTAGGCCAAAGCCCCATCTTTTGGAAAGGCTGG